TGTATGATGAGATATAACTCAAGAAATGGGCACACAGTACATCTTTAAGATAGCGGAACTACGCGAATGACTAGGGTGTTAAATCTTAAAAATGGAGTATATTTTTTATCAAATCACTCTGTTGCAACAAACGGTTTGTTTACATTTTATATGCCCTATCATGAAAAGTTAATAAACTTAATTTGGCAACAACTCCTCAAAGATTCCTCGTTAAAAGTTACAACATTCAAGAGTCTAGTTAAATAAAAATCCTAAACATGAAAGAGGGTTTTATATTATAATCTCCAAAATATCAAAGTTTAAATTACCGTATACATAACATACACAGTAAAACTTGAGGGTAGATTTAACCAGAAAAATTTAACAGGTGTAAAATCTTAAAAGAAATAAATTTGATAACTAGGATCTTGTATTTTATTCTTTTAGGAAATTAGAAAATTGCGGTAAATATTCAATCTCCCGGTTGCGTCGATTTATATCAAACCATCCTGGGTGCTAGGAAAAGTATCGTTTGCAGATTTTTCTTATAATAATAATAGCTCCCGTATGTAGCATTTAACGCCTTCGGAGTAGCAAGGTACAGTCTTGCCATACTAGAGCCGTTCGGTGTACAAAGAAGGTGATGTGGCTAGCACTACGCTTCAACAGCCTATTATTACCTCAGGATTGTGAATCCCAAGTACTCACTTAAGGCTGAGCCGATCTAGGTATTCAAACTATTTTTAATTTAATAAAAATAGTCGGCTGATGAAATACCGGGTGTGGGATTCGAACCCACTACCTTGAGATTGGTAGACCAGAGTCTGTACCTTTACGCCACCAGGCACCTAGAATTTTCTTAAGAACAATAAAAGAACATTGCTTTTAAATAATGTGCGTCGACCATACTTTTGTTGACATCAGGTCAATTAATAATTTTCACAAGCGGATATATTGATAATGTCACCAGTTACCAGTATTACCTATCAAACAATGCTACCGTTATATGAATCAATTAAAGCCGTAAACAAACATATCATATACAATTTTATATACTAATTAATTATAATAAAATTAAATCATAAAAATATTGTCATTATATTTCTGCAGTTTAAGTGAAAAGTTTTTGTTCCTAAATAGCTACTGTACATAAAATGCTTGCCCAAATATTAATTCTGTGGAATATATATATATATATATATATATATATATATATATATATATATATATATATATATATATATATATATATATATATATATATATCAATATAACATAAAACGAGATGTAACTAACGAAACATCATCATAACAAACTACAGCTATTTTAGAAACATCTAGGTTTACTTATTTCACTGAGATTGATGAAAAAAAAATCCTTTGCCTCCGGTACAGATACCGCCACGTTTTGGAAATAGTTCAAAACAAAATTGAACGAGGAAACAAAAAACGCCAAAAATAATCCCCCTCGCCCTCCTCACGAGTAGTTTTCAGGCGCTTTTAAGAATCGAAAGTAGGTCAAGGCAAACCGAAGTGAAAATAAATCAAATGCGTTCAAAGTTGGGCGACGAAATGCGACCTTGACATGTTTCGAATTGTTTCTGGCATAGTGTGTACGCTGTTTTAGGATTATATCTTAGGATTATGTAAAGTGGTCTGTGAAAAAATTCCCAGGTTTTGATTCTAGGAGCTACAGATGCCCGACGCACTTTTATTAGACATATGTAATACCTATATTATATTAAAAGAAATACCGAGTTAATATTTAATTCTCTTTGATTTTTCATATAAATATGAATAAACAAGTTGATTTAAGCAAAAAAATAACTAAAAAAGGCTTAAGCAAATCCCAGTCATGAACATTCGTCTCGATAACGGCACTATTCGATCCAGAAGTGGATCCAGGACCTCGTTATGCCATCGTGCACTTGACGTTCAATAGCGAAACAGCGAGATTTGGTATAATCCCCGTTTATAATCTCATTAGGAAAAGTCTTACTTCGAATTTAGTCTTAAATCCGAAGAATCCTATCCTGAGTTCTGGATAACGACAAATTTGGATTCGAAATCGTTTGTTTTGTCCTTCCAGGATTTTCCGAAGAAGAATAGAAATTGATTTTTCAGAAGTAGGTAGCTTATGTTAACTGTAAGTTGGAAAAGGATTTTGAAGCTGGCGCATTTCCTTATTGTCCATTTGTCTGTTTAACAAACAAGATTTTTGTTTTGTCAAATATTTGGTTTAGAGCGATAGAAAAATTAATTTACCTATATAACAAAAAGCATATTATACAGTTCAAACCAAATTAACTTTTAGTCACGTGATTAAGCTTGACTTTAGGAAGCTTGATTTTAGGAAACAAAAATAAATTAATTATAAATATATAAACAATTATTATTTACATCAACAAAACTCACTTTCTTAACAGCACTTAAGGAACATAAAGTGCCATTACTACCGTTTTCCCGTTCAAAATATTCTAATAAAGTTGCCTTGAGTTTTTTACGGCTATTAAGCTATCTTGTACACTTCGTACTAAAAGAGGTTCTAAAAAGAACAATGTTCGACTGCAAGGGTCTAGTAAATATTTTCAAGCTTAAAGTATCACAATACTATTCATATAAAACAAAAACTCGTAATATAAAACTAAACTGTCATAACAAATGACAATGTCAAGAAATTAATAGATAAATGCGGCAACCTGACATTTTTAGAGCAGAGCTACCACCTGCATCCCCAGCGCGAAATTTAAATTCCAGTTAGTCAGCACGGTGCCGAATATGTTCATGGTTGGCAACAAGGAATTTAAAAATCCTCGATTACCTTACTCAAAGTTTAATTTAATAAGATATGAAATAAATATTTTCAGTAGTCTTCCTTTCTCTATATACAGGATGAGTCTTAAATAAGTGCAAATACTTTCAGAGCTGGCAGATCTGGACAAAAGAAACTTATTTTCTCTTTGCCGTTTTTCAAATAAGTCTAAAATGACCGATTTATTCCAGTTTTGTAATTAGTTTTAAAAAAAGTGATTTTTTTAAAAAAAATTGAGAGCCACCGGATTTTTTCTGTATTTGCACCTTTTTAGAGCCGCAACCATGGTAAATACCAAATTATATCGGAGGAAAATTTGCGGTGAACAGGCAGTTCTAAAAAGTTTTCTAAAATATACAAGAAAATTTAAAAAAATGCACATTTTCAACAGCTTTTTTGCGAAAAACCCTCATAGACGTGTTCCAGGGGCGCTATTCTGTACAATCGTCGGTATCGGTAAGTTACCGACAGCTATCGGTACGTATCTGTATATAGTAAACCGTGAGGTTAACAAGGGCACGGTAGAGATACCGATCCTCGTCGGTACAAATTTGCGATATCTGTCATAGGGCCGATCGATAACTATGACAACAACAATCAACACATGTTTACTACCTATATACAAATACGTACCGATAGCTGTCGGTAACTTACCGATACCGACGATTGTACAGAATAGCGCCCCTGGGGTCGAAATATACCACCCCTGAATACATTTGCGCTTGTTTAAGAATCACTCTGTATAATAAAAGATGTATGATTCTTTTTCTTGTAAAAAAATCGTCAATTTAATCTTACTTTAAATTATTTGCACGAAACCTGCGAAAAACGTAACGATATTGTCCTGAAATAAACAGGAACATATCGACCGGTAAAACGCAAGACCTAGAATACGGAAGAAATAAGTTTAAAGTTAAGTTAGGCCTGTCTTAGTGCGAACGAAGGAGAACGTTCCCTCCAAAACAAGACTATCAATTTCCTATTCTAGATCGAGGTGATGCACACGGACGAATCTCTTGAAAACGTAGCCAAAACTTCTTAAATGACTAACTTTTAATGTAGTGTAAAGTATAATATGGCGGTATATAATATAATAATAATCAAAATTGAAAATATCTAAATGACAGATAACTCAAAGCTATTTAGATGCTGGTGAAAATTGTAAAATTCAAACATGCTTCACCGTTCAGCTCCATCTACGGTTACATAAGTGAAGCAGGCTTGAATTTTCAGTAGGTTGCTGGTTTTATTTGGCGGTACGATACGCATAATAGGTGGAACTGCCGCTAAATGGAGAGAGCATCTAGATCTCGCCATTGTAGTAATGATTTTGGTATTCAAGTGCGACTTCTGCAGTATATTTGTGTTTTTTTTGTGTTTTTGTGTCGTCCGATGACTGTTTTTTCAGTCTGATGAACTTAATTGACAGAAATTTGCACACATTTTTTATTTTTTATGCTTCTGTATTAGAGGTGGGAAGTTTAGTTTAGTTCGATTTCATGTCAAGCTCAATGATTTGTCAATGCTCATGATTCATGTCAAGCTCAATGATTTGACAACTTTTAGAGTTATGTCCTAATTCTTTCTTATTTGAGGTCTTTTTTTATTAGTGGCAATTAAACAATTTGGATATTTTTTGTATGGCATCTGACGTTACAGGTGACATGCGCAAACTGAACGAAATTGGGGTCGCTATCGATCATACCTGGACACTAATAATTGTTGTTAAATAAGGTCTACATATATCCAGCAATAATCTCTATATTAACTCACTAGGATAAATAAATTTATAAAAAAAATAATGTGTATGCACCGTGATACAAAGAAAAGAAGGTATGATCGATAGTGGCTCCAATTTCGTTCAGTTTGCGCATATCACATGTGACGTTATAGGCTATACAAAAAAATATCCATATTGTTAAATTGCTGCTAATAAAAAAAGACCTCAAATAGGGAAGAATTAGAACATAACCTCAAAAGTTATGTTAAATCATTGAGCTTGACATTTGAAAAATAGTTTCTATATTTATTATAATAATAATAATAATAATAGAAAAATTGAAAATCAAAATCGAACCGATAGCTTGGGCAACCATACAGGAAGCCCCGCTAATGGACGACAAACACGAAACAGGCGTATGCGCTGGTCAAGAGAAGATAATATCAATCTCATACGTGCATACTTTACTGCCACGAAAAACGAAAACGAAATGACAAGTTACAGGACGCAAATAGTTAGGATATGGAACGATACTTACCCCCACAACCCAAAAACATCTCAACAACTGTCAGGCCAAATAAGATCAGTTCTTAATAGAAAAGTATTTTCCCAAGCAGAGTTACAAGCCTTAAAAGAAGAAGTGACACCACACAAAGAACCGCATTCCGCCATACAGGAAGTTGTAGAGGAAAGTGCTGAAGACAAACGAGAAACCGTGACAACTCTTCTCACCGAGGACGAAAACGTCCCAGCGGTTAACGAACTTCACTCCCAATTTGAAGAAAACTGTTTAAAATACGAAGGTATCCCGCTACAGTTAAGAGACAAAATCCCAAAAATCAAATACAATGTAAAAACTCTTCAAACTGTTAGACTGGTTAACAATATACTTGCTCAGAAGCTTCCCTCTAGCTCCAACCTAGAGGAAACCTGCCACCTAATTTACAGTGCCGCAATAACTGTTTGTAATGCAACAGGATGTAGTACCTCCCACAGAATATCACGAGAGATCAAGACAGATAGCAACCCACCGTGGAAAAGAAGACTGGAATCAAAAATAATGAAATTAAGGGAAGTGATAGGGCCAATTAACTCTTATGCCCAAAATCCTGCTGGCTCTAGCGTTAGATTAAGGCATAGAGTTAACAACATGGCCAAAGCACACGATCTTAATATCAATGAACCAGCTTACCAACAGAACCTAAGAACGCTCCTTGAGAACCTCAAACAAAAAATTTCCGCCTTGGGGGCTAAACTAAGAAGATACAACAAAAGGGTTAAGCGATACAAACAAAACCGTGATTTCCAACTGAACCAGAAACTCTTCTACCGCAACCTTGCAACAGATTCCCAACAACAGCAAGAAAAACCCCCAGAGAAGGCGCATATGATGGAATATTGGAGTGAAATATGGTCTCAGGAAGAAAATCATAATAAGGATGCCTATTGGCTGAGAAACGAAGAACAGAGAAACCAAGGTATACCGGAAATGGAAAGAATAATAGTAACGGCAGAATTGGTGTGAAAAGCTCTTACAAGGTTGGGCAACTGGAAGACTCCAGGGAATGATGAGATCCAAGCATACTGGTGGAAAAACTTTCCTACTACCCACCCAATCTTGTCCAAGCAGTTCCAGCAAGCCCTTGTCGACCCTGAAAAGATGCCGCCCTTCTTCACGCAAGGAGTAACTTACATGCTCCCCAAGAATCTGGAACCTGAAAATCCAAAGAATTTTAGACCAATAACCTGCTTACAGGTAATCTATAAATTACTTACATCTATAATAAACGCCCAAATAACTCAACATCTAAAGAAAAACCAAATTCTAGCCATGAAATAAAATGAAAGCCGGGAGGGATCGCAGGGTAGTAGAGAGTGAACCGTAGTTGACGCCATCGTAACAAAACAGGCCATGGTTAAAAAAAGAAATATAGCAATGGTATGGATTGACTACCAGAAGGCGTTTGACTCCGTCCCCCATTCATGGTTAGTAAAAACATTAGAAATATATAAAATTAATACAGAAGTAATATACTTCCTCCGGCAAACCATGGATAGATAGAGAACGCAACTAGCGGTGAACCTGAATGGTGTTTCATACCTTACTGACACCTTAAAAATCCGGAGAGGCAATATGGTTTTGCTTGGCGCTTAACCCACTTAGCTCTATGCTAAAGACTGGAAACTACGGGTATCAGATAACGAAAAACCCAAGTGTTCGACTAACGCACTTGTTCTACGTAGACGACTTGAAGCTCTACACTACAAATAGGGACCAACTACACAGCCTGCTAGAACTAGTGTCATGTTTTAGCGAGGATATTAAAATGAAATTTGGTATCAGTAAGTGCGCATACGTGAACGTGATAAAAGAAAAATCATAGAATCCGAAGGCATCGACTTGAGGGGAGGACAACACATCGCAGGACTCTCGAACTAGGAGCAAAGTACAAATATCTTGGTGTGCAACAGTCCGCTATTATAGACCACACTGAAATGAAAAAGGCCGTCGAATCATCTTTTCTCCAACGCGTGACCAAAATACTTAAAACGGAATTATACTCTGGGGCAAAAGTCACGGCAATTAATTCTTGGGCAATACCAACTATATCCCACACATTTGGTATATTGAAATGGAGCAAAACAAACCTGGAAAGCATTGACAGGAAAGTAAGGGTGCTTCTAACAAAATTCAGGTCCCACCACCCACAAGATTCGACTGCCAGATTATACCTTCCGCGGGCAAATGGAGGACGAGGTTTACAAAATCTAGTCGTACAACACCACCAACAGACCACCAACCTCAGAGACTACTTTCTCCGTACCGATCAGCCATTGCATCGAGCGCTAATACAGGTTGACGACGGATATTCACAGCTTAAACTTGCAGATAAGAATCCCCCACCAATCCCAGTTACAATCAGCCAATTCGAGGAAGAATGGAAAGCGAAACCATTACATGGACGGTATGCAGCCAACCTCAACGGAGGTGAGGTCGATAAGAAGCTTTCAACGTCTTATCTTTCTGATGGCCAGTTAATGTTCGAAACTGAAGGATTCATAAACGCCATACAAGGACAGGTAATACCTACGAGAAACCGGAGAAAATTCATCCTAAAAGAGGACTTACCATCTGATAAGTGTCGACTATGCCAGACCACTACTGAATCTATTCAACACCTAACTGCTGGTTGCACATATCTTGCCCCGAGGGACTACCTAAACAGGCACAACCAAGTTGCAGGCGTAATACATCAGGAACTCTGTGTACAAATGGGGCTCCTTACTGCAAAAGTCCCATACTACAAATACCAGCCTCAGACGGTACTAGAAAACGAATCGTGGAAGATCCTATGGGACCTAGCTATAACAACGGATAGGACGGTGAGTCACAATCGACCAGACATCTTAGTTTTTGATAAGAAGCAAAGAAAGGCGCAAGTAATAGATATACAATTCCAGCAGACGAAAATGTAGGAAAATCAAGAATGGAGAAAGTCCTGAAATACCAAGAACTCGCGGATGAGATAAAGAGAATGTATCAGTTGGAAAAGGTGGAAATATATCCTATAATAATATCATGTAATGGGTTAGTAGATAAGTACTTACCCCGCAATCTTAAGGCTATCAGCATACGCAACCCGAAGCAAATTGTAGCAATCTCACAAAAAGCTGTCATTCTGGCAACCTGTCACACGGTGAGACGTATACTGGCAACAGATGGTCGCGTTGGTCTATAAAGACCCCGCGAACATTGGCCGTACCCAGCAAAAGTGCTGTGAAAAAAAAAATAATAATAATAGTGTCTTTATTAATATTCAAAAGAAAAGTGTAACAAAAAATTCAACAAGATGGCGGCGTTCATATACCATGCTCTTCCACGCAACCATCAAACCAAAATATTCTATTGACTTGCTACAGACAGAAAACTAAACTTATAGTCTTAGATAAATTGACAATACATATAAACAAGAATTAAAACTAACTTAAATCTATATACAATAATTTTCAATTCTAAGGTCATGCAAGCACAGAAAATTACAAAAAACCATATATTAAAATTGTATGGTGAATTCACACAAGGTAAGAATTAGAAAGCACAAGGAGGTGTGTAACATACATCCATTTTTTAAGTTAAGTATCTTACTGCCGATTTTTTTAAATGTTTAATAAATTTTGATTTAAAAGTCCCCAGAGAATCGCAAGTCAGTTAAGTTAATTTTAATTTTACCTCAGTATCCAAATATAATTTATGCATGTACAAATGTTTAAGAATGTAGAAACAAGTTTTAACTAAGTGGTTAACATGGGTAAAAAAACGTCAATCATTATCGATAAACAGTCCTAAATTTTTGCATACTGTATTTATTTTTAAAATATTACTATTTATACTAATACGAAAATTTGGATCACTGGCTATACTCGCTCTCTCTTTGCCAAATAGAACAACTTCAGATTTATTGTTATTGAGTGACAGTAAATGAGAATAACTAACTTCCTTAATAGAAAATAAGTCTTCATTTATATTTAGAGCCGTGATTTCAGCTTGTTCAGGTTTAAACGAAATATATATTTGTGAATCGTCCGCAAAAGTAAGAATGGAGCAATATTTAATAAAGTTATGAAAATCGGCAGTATACAGTGTATAAAGTAGCGGGCCCAAAACACTACCCTGAGGGACCCCTTTAGTAATTTCTAAGTTACCTGAGTGAGTATTTCCTATGACAACCCTCTGATATCGACCTTTGAAATAATTATTGAAAAAAGCCACTGCTGATTTTGATACTCCAAAATACGAAAGCTTAGCGCAGAGAAGATCAAAGTCCACACTGTCGAACGCCTTGCTGAAGTCTAATAAGACCAGACAAGTAGCCAAGTTTTTATCATTTGAACAATAAATATCGTCTGAGAGCTTAAGCAATGCCGTAGTCGTACTGAATCCCTTCCGATAACCCGATTGATGAGGTGGTAGTAATTTATTGCTATTTAAATACTCTGTGAACTATGCAGCCACTATCTTTTCCAGCACCTTAGATAACAAAGACAAAATACTAATAGGTCTAAATTGGTTAACGTCCGTAGGATTGGTAACTTTAGCTAAAGGTATTACGTTGGAATATTTCCAAGCCTCTGGAAATTGACCAGATTCAAGACAAAAGTTAATAATGAATGTTAAATAAGGACTTAGATATGGGAAAATTAGTAAAGACATTTTTAAATTGATACCATCAGGACCCGTTGAGTTACTTTTAAGTGTATTGAGTATATTATTGATCTCGATCTCTGACACTGATTTGAATTTAAATTCTTTCAAACCTTCAAAATACCGTGACGATTTATATTTGTGCAAGAGATCATTATAACCATTATGTTTTGCTATGGACGGTATTCCATTGACAAAATTATATTATGTCATCAGTTCGACGATATGAAATTAGCGCGCGGTATTTGCCGACCAATGGTGCGGTTATCACCCGTGACGTAGTGTTTAACACGACAGGATCGAGCTAAGCCTTAGGCAGATTTCTGAAATATAACATATATTTCCTTCGGCCACACACCCGCTTTACCCCACCCCTGAAAACTGAAAGTGAAGAGCGACCCGAACAGTACAGAGTATACTCTGTTTTTTTTTCTCAGGTAAGATTTTCGACAGACGATGACAGAAGAAAAGCAAATGACGTCCCATACCAATCTATTTATTTTACTAAAAAAAGTTTCTAATAATTTTTAAGTTATCTATGGATGGGTTTAAATATAAATCCGTCATGCGTCGTGTCTTGTTGTTTTTAACCAGTTTTATTGGTTTACTTAAAAAATGACAGAACGTATTTCAATTTTATTGGTTTGACGCAACGATGAACGACAAACGGACGCCGATGCGTATGAACTCGCCTTTAGATTTTTGTCATTTTTGACGCTTGTCAAAGTCTTGCCAAATTATAGGTTATAATTTTGTGTCAACTTTTGTTAAATACCCTGTGTTTTGGAAGATGATGCATTTTGATTCGTATTATTAGGTGTGTTTTGTGTCTTTTGAAGTCAAGTGGAGGAAAAATCGAGTGAAAATTAACTGTAGACCCAGAGCACAGTTTATGGTTAATACTCGCTGCCCAGGCAGAAAGTCCTATACACCAATGAAGTTGCCATCGATAAAGTTTGTATACCATTTCGTCGTAGATAAGTGCATCTCGTATATGGTAGAAGGATCAAACTAAACACATACTAAAAACTGGAGTAGCTGTAAAATATCGACATCATACGATAGGTAAATAATGGATTTTAGTACTGCAGAAATATAATGTCAAAAGGTACTGGTTTAAAAAAATTAAGATTAAAGTTAATTAATCAACCTTTAAGGTATAAAATTTGGTAGGTGTTATTTTTAATAAAATAGTTTGTTTTATTTACCTATGTTGTTTTATTTATTCCTGTGGAATATTACAAAATGCGGGTAGTTTCATAAAGCTTGAAAGTAAATAATAGTTCTTTTTTATATTTTTTTGGTATGTAGTATCTTGTTCTTGTTTGTTTTGTATTAACACATACCGTTTTTATTAAATAAAATAACTCGATTACATTTTTTCAGTTTTATACAGTTTTTTTCACAATATTTTGAAATTGATTTTGAAGTAATCACTTGTCATCTTGTCAATCAAATTTTAAATATTTCCTGCTATGCGTTCCAGTTGTACCAACTTATTTCTTTGTAAAATAAAATAAACTACTTTGAAATTAAAATGATAGACACATCTATCACTGTCAAGGATCTTCTCGTTGGACAGACTATAATATACTCTTAAAAGTAAATTCAATTTCATATTTCAGGTTTTGGCCACGAATTTTGAAAAATTAGCCTGTGCGCGACGCAGTTCTACGTTCAGATCGGCATTATTTCCAGCTAAAAACGTTAAGAAAAGACTCAGGCAAACTGAGTGGAAAATTGGATTCGGTTCGACATGTTCCTTAACATAGAAAATGGCGTTGTCTTAATATTTTCCGCAATATATTCAGTTCGCTACGCGACCTGCACTATTCTCCATCAGCAAAGCGTATTTGGAGAAATGGAAAATGTATATAACGATAAAATCTAATTTCCCTATAAAGATACGTTATTGACGGGTTATGGAGGACAATTAATGATAATCGAAAAACAGAGGCGTATCAAATAAAAATATAAAAGCGAGAACAAAAGAGACATTAATTGTTTAATCTACGACAATGTCATTATGACACATTTACATTGTTATTTGGATGTCATTATGGCTTTCATAATAGCACTAGTGCTATTATGAATTCATAATAACACGCACATTTTAAAATAAGAAACAAGCAAAAAAAGGTACCGAAATACGTTTATTTATTGTAAACATTAATTATAATATCAGTACAATTGGTTAAATTAATTCCAGACGATGACAGGTGAGTTGAATTTTTAGAAAGTAAATTTATTTCCTGAGTGATTGAACTTGTTGAAAAAATCATCATTGCCAGAAATGTTACCCAAAATATTACATGACACTTTTTTCTTATTTTCTTTGGAATTCTCTATATAGCTCTCTGCCACTGTGTTAGAGCGCCACCACCATGTCTTTTAACAGTTAATAAATCCACTCCTGAATCTGTAAGCAACGACGCAGACGATCTACGGAAACAATGTCCAGTGTATTGTTGTGGATTTGGAAGACTTAGGAACAATGCTATTTTATACGGCATTTTCCCTAAAGTATTAATGCCAACGGGTTGCTTATCACATTTTCCATTTCAAATTCCCACAAAAAATCGAAAGTACTCTGTGTTACTTGGCGGCATAGCTATATATCTTCGAACCATTTCACCATAGTTTAGTTCTTTTCAACAGTCTTTCGTTATAGTCTGTGATATGTTTTTCGTAGTTTAGCATGACATGAATTATTGTACTTCATCTTTAACATTTGCGTTTTGATTTGGTCAATGAAATTTTGTCAGAAATGCATATCGAAGCCCAATGGTAACGAGCTTAAATTTCCGCATCGAATCTTCCCGATTTCTTTTAGAAATGCAATGACGCACTTACTCCACTGAACGGCCTGTGAGCTCTAAAGATGTTCGTGCCGGCTATGGATTTCACATTTGTACTGTGCTTGTTTTGATTTTTTCGAGAACGATTGTTCGCTTGCGCAATGCCTGATCTCATCAGAGCGATACTTGCATCATTCATGCCAATACATTTTGAGCGCAGTTAAATCGAATCGTTTAACATACCAACATCATCAATTGTCGCGTCAAATGGAAAGGTTACGGCGTCGTTCGGCGGGCACTCGAGCATCTTCTGACTTTGTTTATGATATCTTCGATACCTTAGTTCAATGTCGGTTTCAGCTCTGACGATACAAAGTTGATACGAACTTCTTTAATGTGGGTCTGCCACCGGCTACCTTGTGGTCATTAATAACTGGCCGTACTGACGGAACCAGCCGCAGCGCACCACACAGCTCAAACATTTTATGTATTTGAAGTAGGGGTCTTCATTAACAGCTGTTGGTTCGAAGCGATTTGAAGGATTTGTTTGGGCTGAGGCTGAAAGGTAGCAATTGTACCATTGTCGGTTTGATTCATTTCAAATTTGCCAGTCGCATCGTCTGATTGCCTCATTACTGGAAATCACAGATTGCGCGCAAATCATCATAGCGGAAAACAGACGTGGTTGCC